GTTGAATGAGTTATAGAAAATCAATGTACACTGTACAGTTATTTGTTATGTACAATTATTTAAATTATTTAATACAATTTATGTATTCAAATTTGTTTAAATTTATTTAATGAATATGTTTTTAGTGTATATAATTTTTGGGCCCAACTAATAATATATTTCTTGAGTTTATCTTAATACCTATTTAAATATTTATTTAAAAAAATATTTTCCTAGTCTAAAATAAATAATTATATATTAAATTACTACCTGATTAATAGAATTTCCATTATCRTTTTAAATTTTAAATAAAAGAATCCACAGACACTATATCATAGTCAAAGTTTGAATCATAATCATCATTCTCGTTAACTACAGGAATGATTTGAACAGAATTATCATCATTGTCATCTTCCAAAGACATTGCCTCATCAATATCAGACATTGTATGRACATAAATTGTTTGGACATTGTCATCTATAAACGAAGTCTGATAATCATTGAAATCTTCATCTAATTGATCTGCCATTTCACTAAGTCCTAGATCATTTTCATCTTCAAGAGGTACATCTAGCTGAAATTGCTGTGATACTCTTATTGGTGAGTATATGTGTTTCATTTCTTTTTTTGGAGTATCTAAGTCAAATGATTTTTCCGATTTTGGAGGATCAGGATCACTCTTTGAAGCACAAGAATAATTCAACTCTGTAAGTTTTTCCTTTTTACTAGAATGCCCATATTGATTAAATATTGAATGATCACCTAACGGCTTTAAATAATCAAATTTGATTGTTTTGTCAGAGTTTGAAATTCTTGAATTGTATATCTTTCTATCTTTTATGTTAATTGCGTTGATTTTTAAATTTTCAATATTTTTTGGACCAGTATTTATTTTCACTCCAATATCTGTACTATCAACATAGAGAGAATCTATCTGCTCGATTTTAGTGTCCATGAATGTATTTTCATCTGTAGAATATTGAGTTTCAATTATAACTTCTTCAATTCCAGACTCAATATCATATTTTTCTTCTTCTGTTAATGTGTCCATTTCGTTCAATAAAACATTTTCTTCTACTTCATTAGCTGAGTATTCTTCTTCCAAATCTTCAGGAGTGACATTTTGGGTTCTAATTATATTGACGATTTGCCGATCAATAATTTTTTTCAAATGTTGACATTTCTTTAAAAGCTTGTTACGTCTACCAAAAACATCATTTTCATAATGTTGAATCAGTTCTTTTACACCACCTTTTACACCAACCTGAAATGAATCATAAAACTTTGATTAATTTATAAAATTAATTATTACATTTTTTTTTTCATTTAAAATAATAATTCCTTTATTAGTTGGATTAATTTATAAGTTATAAAAGTTTAAAAAGGAATAAAAAATAAATTATGGTTTTTTAAAGTAAGGTATAGTCAGAAGAAAACTATAATACATTTGATTTTATTATAGGTAATTTTAGGTTATTCGGCTAAATTCATTAAGATGAAGGTCTTAATTACATTAGATACATTTTCCAACAAGTTAAACTGTTTAATAAAAATTGAAAATAATTAGTTTTTAAATAAGTATTTAATTATAGTGAGATATGCAAACAAAAAAAAATTAATAAAATTTTTGGCATAATTATGTACTTTAAATTGTAGTCATCAAGTGTATTTTAACAACAATACATTTTATAGTATTAGATTTTGAGTTGAATGATGAATTTTTCAAATTATTTAAGTTAGAAATTCATAGAAATGTTTCTATTTATTTCTAAGTTTTGAAAATTTAATGAAAGATTCTACATAATTTTTTCTACATTTCACTAAAAAAAAAAAAATAGTTGAAAGTCTTAGAGTTTGAAGTTAAACAATAGATATTCACTCATAAATTAAAAAATTTTGATAGATCGATTTACTTCTTTTGTTCAAAAACTAATAAGCATAGGCACCTATTTGAAATTTTTGCCAAATGTATATTTTAACATTTTCTATCCCTAAGCATACAATTTCCATGGTCAGATTTTACCACCATACTAAGATATTGTACATCTAAACTATGGCTTTAACACTGGGGATCACTCCCACCCCCACTTCGCCACATGGTATAGAAATATATCTCTATGTATCCTACCTTTACCCTTGTTTCACAACCTTAATCTCTCCAGAAAAAGTATATCTTCATTCTCCTGTCTTCGTTTTGGCCACACACTATTCTCTTTCCATACTTTTCAATCTTTGAATGATTCTCCTCTCTACACACTACACAATGACCCTATGGTTTGTGACATTAGCCACCTAATTTTCTCATAAAATTTTTTCCTTTTAAAATTTCCCAATATTCCTATCGATACTAAAAATATCTTTTCAACCTAATAAAAAATATTATTTTGTACATTTTATCCTTTTTCAACCAAACAGTCTTTTTAAGCTAATCAGA